TTAGTGAGGTTTCCGTGAGGTCTGTTAGGTGCGCGTCCTGCAGCTTATTGGCTTAAAATGTACTCTCCTTTGGTGTGGTCCCTTTGGGGGCCAACTTGGAGAAAGAGAAACCAATAGTGCAACTGTTTTGATACTGAAAATTGAACAAGTATCTTTTTAAAATAAAGAACCAGTCCCTCCAACCTTCAGACCTACTTGATTTCTTTTCTTCTTTTTTTTTTTTAATAATCCTAATGTGCTTTCTCCACAGGAACTGAGGTTTGGGTTAAAAATCAGATCTTTGTAGGTGGTAGCAACAGGACATTGGAGTATATGCTTTGGTAGCATACCAAACGGGGTTCAAAACTCAGCTCTGAGCTCCTAGTTGTTATGTCCTGATGTAACAACGGTTAAACAAAGATACCATGTATCATCAGGTAAATGGGAAAGTTTGAAAAAAATTATGTGCCAATCCTTTTTTGTTGTTAACCTTCACCTGAAGATATTTTTTCCATTTATTTATTTTTTTTTAGAGAGAGTGGAAGCGGGGTGGAGAGAGAAACATCGATGTGAGAGGCATATCGATTGGTTGCCTCCTGCACGTGCCCTTGACCCGGAATGGAACATGAAACCCTTGACAAGAAGTGCTCTTAGCCCAACTGGTGTGGCTCAGTGGTTGAGCCTTGACCTATGAACCAGGAGGTCACAGTTCAAATGCTGGTCAGGGCACAGGCCCAGGTTGCAGGCTGGATCCCCAGTGTGGGGCGTGCAGGAGGCAGCCATCAATGATTCTCACCATTGTTGTTCCTACCTCCTCCCTCTCCCTTTCTGAAATCAATAAAATGTGTTGTTGTTTTGTTTTGTTTTTAAAGAAGTGCTCTTAGTATTTGCTTAGAGGTTGTGTGAGTGGATAGCTTTCGAAGTTGCCTTTGACACACGAGTGCCTGGCAATCCTGCACCCGGGCCATGAGGCCGGCCATGAATCTGACATACTAGTAAGAATGACACAGCTCCTTGACCACGACCAGCTCTAGCTGTTTATACTTCAGACTGGAAAGTTTTTCCGTTAATAGGCACGGATCAATGCATAGAAATTACTGCCCCCCACCAAAAAAAATTGGAGGTGGGGTGGGGTTAGGGGCCGAATAAGGTAGGCAATCGAATTAAACTGGGAGGAAGTTTGATTTACTAACAAGATCTGCCCTCCGACATTGAAGTGGGCAGCTGGGTTTGT